AGTAACAATAGCAGCAACGACGAAGCCCTACCCGAATGTCCTCAAGAGGCAGCGACTCAGGCAAGGTCACCGAGGAGGGCCAGCATGTTGAAGATCTCAGATGCTCAGAGGGGAAGTCGGAGAAGTTGGGCGTCAGTGGAGGCAGAGGGTTCCTCGAGCCCAAACGCAAGTCCGTGAGAGCCTGGGCGTAGAGTAGGCGGGCGGTGGTCTCATTGGCTAACAACTGTTCATCCACGGATAGGGACAGACAACTGGGTTGACGAAAAAGAAACAGTCGTAAGAAATGGAGGACCATATTAGGGATATTAGGGGATAAACGTGCATATTTTCGAGAAAATCAAACAAAAACATACGCATGCATTGGGTGACGTGTCTCATGAGATGCTAATCGAACTGCTGAAATGCGTTTTCGATTCGAAACTATAGGCTGCAATATCAAGCCTTATCCTGCAACGTACATACTCTTAACAGATTTTATTCAATCAGGATGCAGGATTCTAGATGCGCTTCTTTTTGATAACATATATAAATTCATTCGGTAAACAATGACTACTGAAGTAGCATGCATTTTACTGTTTATTTTTCATGCCCTTAGATATTCAAGCAAACTCTATAGAAATAATTCATAAAAATTAATGGCGGCGCATTATACCCTCAAATTTATAACACGAAAGAACAGTTTAGCGGTGTTTAAAAGGTCTGTATTTATGGGATTGTCTAAGACCGTGAAATGCCCCTTTTAAACAGCATCTTTTCTGCCCGTTCCTTAATGCTGCTTATTTAGGGTCTTCAAAGGCACTGCCTATTACCCTAAAAATAATGAAAAATATACTGAACTAAGGTATACAACACGGTCCACCTCCATTGCAAGCCATTATGAGCCCTGTATGATATGTTCTTAATACCTTATGGGAATCTATGATGTTATTTAGACAAAGAGTGCACAGCTTGGAAAGCCTGACCGCAAGTGCAGTGACTATTCGGATGAAAAATTGTTCTACTGACTGCGCTTATACGCAAGCGCGCGCGGAAAATAGCTGTCCCACTACCAAGTGTATTACTGGCTATGCGGCCAGTGCCTGACGTCACTTCAGGCAAGAACGGTGGACATGGCCTTTTTGCAAATTTTCTGAACCTGGGCATTCGTAACAAGTATTGGGTCTGTCTTGAGGAATGTGGCGGTCAGGGGG